TGAATGGGGCCAGCATCTTTATGGGAAGGTTTGCTAGTGCTGTTGGGAGGGTTTAAACTAACTTGGCAGGGGGCATGGGATCCAGGAAGAAGATTCAGTTCGGCCAAAATTAGAAGGGATGTCAAGTATGTCAAGACATAGAAATTATTGGCTACTTAAGGTACAAAAGCTTGGACGATATTTATTTCAATACAAGGAGTGTGACAAACAAGGCAGATGAATTTGAGGGCACAAAACATCATAGAATCTGTGGAAGTATTCATTGTGGCTGCAGAGGCTAGGTCATTCAGTATATCAAGGCTCAGACAGATTTTTAACCAGGAAGGGAATCAAGGGAGCAGGAATACAGCAAGAAAGAAGATTATCAGCCATGATCTAATTGAATGGCTGAGTAGACTCAAAAGGCTGAATGGCCTATTTATGCATAGATATATTACAGACTCAACTTACAAGAGTGAGGACACAGAATAGAAAATCAAACAGCCAAATCTAGTTTGTAAGGAACATTATTTCCCCAAAAATGTAAACTCTAGTCTCTGTCTCTCCCAAGAAAAACCTGAAAACAGATGAGGATGACAAGCCTGGATGGTATTTATTTTAATGCAGGGACTCATGCAAGTAAGGTGTACGCGTTGAGTGTGTTAATTAACACGTGAATGTGATATCATATTTGTCATGGAGATATGCTCAAAGGAGGGAAAGGACTGGCAGCCTAATATTCTGGGGTATGGAATCTTTAGGCAATTTGTGGGCAGACTGATGTAAAAGGGGAGGTGGTGTTGCAATATTGATCAGGAGTCAATTACTGCAGTAAGAAGGGATGTTGTATTTGAAAGTTGTTCAATTGAAGACATGCAGGTAGAACTTTAAAACAAAAATGGGAAAATCACTATACTAAGGGTATATAATGCAGTCTGGGAGAGATAAAAAGATTGTTATGTAGGTAAATTTCAGAGAAGTGTAAAAATAACAGGTTAATAGTGGTAGGGATTTCAACTTCCCCAATATTAACTGGGATAGACAAATGTGAAAAGTTGAGAATGGTGGAATTCTTAAAACATGCCCAGGAGAGTTTTATGTAAGGCAGCACATTAGAAAGTATCTTAAGACAGGAAAGAGTGCTGGACCTAAGTTTAGAGAAACAAATGCCAGACAAGGAGTAAGTATGGCAATAGGGGAACATTTTGGTGATGGTGACCATAATTCAGTAAGATTTAAGGTAATTATGGATAAGGACTAAGGTGGACCAGAAATAAAAGTTCTGAATTGGGAGATTTTAAGAAGACAGGGTCTGGTCAAAGTGCACTGGAGGCAGTTACTTGCAGGAAATTCCACAACAGAGCAGCGGGAGAAATTTTAAAAATTGCAGTGAGAACGCATGGCCAACATTATCTTCTAAAGGGTGAATGTCCAGAGAACCTTGGATGTCAAGAGATCAAGACAATTGAATAATGAATTAAAAAGGAATTTAGACACTAAAAGTCTCAAACACAAGAGTATGATTTGGTGGATGCTTAAAAAAAAATTAGGAGGTCAAAGAGGGAACATGAGAAAGCGCTGTCAAGTAATGTTATGGAAAATCTGAAATCATTTTATGTGCACATGTGCAGAAAGAGAATAGCCATGAAAAGAGTAGGACCCACCACAGGACAAAACAGCAATCTGCATATTGAGTAAGACATAGCTGCAGTTTTAAAAGAATGCTCTGCATTTGTGCTCAATGTAGAGAAGAACAACAGAAATGAGGCCGGGGATCTGGGGCATACTTGAATGCAGGAGCACCGAAAACGGAGGTATGAATGGTTCAAGCGGGCTTGAAAGGGATAAATCCCAGGAACAAATTTGACCTTTTTTTTCAGCGAGGTGACTAGTTGAGGGTGATGCAGTGGATATACCCACAGAGACTGTGGGAAGGCTTTTGATAAGGTCTCCCATGGCAGACTGGCTAATACAGTTCCAATGAGACCTAGAATAATGTAGCAAATTGGCTCCTGAATTGTCTTAGTTGCAAGTAGCAGACAGTGGTGTTCGAAAGGTGAAGCATAAGAATATGTATAAACTGGCCAAATAGTCCTAACAGTTCCATCCCGAACTTTACCATGGACGTCCAGTCCCTCTACACCTGCATTCCCCATGCAGATGGCCTTAAGGCCCTCCGCTTCTTCCTGTCCCGCAGGCCTGACCAGTCCCCCTCCACTGATACCCTCATCCGCTTGGCCGAACTCGTCCTCACACTCAACAACTTCTCTTTCAATTCCTCCCACTTCCAACAGACAAAGGGGGTAGCCATGGGTACCCGCATGGGCCCAAGCTACGCCTGCCTCTTTGTAGGTTACGTGGAACAATCCCTCTTCCGTACCTACACCGGCCCTAAACCCCACCTCTTCCTCCGTTACATTGATGACTGTATCGGCGCCGCCTCGTGCTCCCACGAGGAGCTCGAACAGTTCATACACTTCACTAACACCTTCCACCCCAACCTTAAGTTTACCTGGACCATCTCTAACACCTCTCTCCCCTTCCTGGACCTCTCTGTCTCCATATCGGGCAACCACCTAGAAACCGATATTCATTTCAAGCCCACCGACTCCCACAGCTACCTAGAATACTCCTCCTCCCACCCACCTTCCTGCAAAAATGCTATCCCCTATTCCCAATTCCTTCGCCTCCGCCGCATCTGCTCCCAGGATGAGGCATTCCACTCCCGTACATCTCAGATGTCCTCGTTTTTCAAGGACCGCAACTTCCCCCCCGACCTCAGTGGTTGAGAACGCCCTCGACCCTGTCTCCCGCATTTCCCACAACTCATCCCTCACACCCACTCCCTGCAATAACAACCAAAACAGAATCCCCCTTGTCCTCACATACCACCCCACCAACCTCCGGATCCAACGCATAATCCTCTGACATTTCCGCCATCTGCAATCCGACCCCACCACCAAAGACATTTTTCCCTCCCCACCCTTATCTGCTTTCTGGAGGGACCACTCTCTCCGTGACTCCCTTGTCTGCTCCACACTCCCCTCCAGCCCCACCACACCCGGCACTTTTCCCTGCAACCGCAGGAAGTGCTACACCTGCCCCTACACCTACCCCCTCACCCATCCCAGGCCCCAAGAAGACTTTCCACATCAAGCAGGTGTTCACAGTGGTATACTGCATCTGCTGTTCCCGTTTTGTCCTCTTCTACATCGGGGAAACCAAGTGGAGGCTTGGGGACCACTTTGCAGAACACCTACACTCGGTTCGCACTAAACAACTGCACCTCCCAGTCGCGAACCATTTCAACTCCCCCTCCCACTCCTCAGACGACATGTCCATCCTGGGCTTCCTGCAGTGCCACAACGATGCTACCCGAAGGTTGCAGGAACAGCGACTCATATTCCACTTGGGAACCCTGCAGCCCAATGGTATCAATGTGGACTTCACAAGCTTCAAAATCTCCCCTCCCCCTACCGCATCCCAAAACCAGCCCAGCTCGTCCCCACCTCCCTAACCTGTCCTTCCTCCCACCTATCTCCTCCTCTCACCTCAAGCCCCACCCCCATCTCCTACCTACTAACCTCATCCCGCCCCCTTGACCTGTCCGTCCTCCCTGGTCTGACCTATCTCCTCCCTACCTCCCCATCTGCACTCACCTTTACTGGCTCCATCCCTGCCTCTTTGACCTGTCTGTCTCCTCTCCACCTATCTTCTCCTCTATCCATCTTCTAGCCGCCTCCCCCTCTCTCCCTATTTATTTCAGAAACCCCTTCCCCTCCCCCATTTCTGAAGAAGGGTCTAGGCCCGAAACGTCCTCTGATGCTGCTTGGCCTGCTGTATTCATCCAGCTCTACACCTTGTTATCTCAGATTCTCCAGCATCTGCAGTTCCTACTATCTCTGTCTGACAATGTCATTTGTTGTAATATCAATCTGTTTCATAAATGTCCCTTCAGGAAGGAATTCTGTCACCCACATCTGGTATGGCCTATGTATGACTCCAGAGCAACAGCAATGTGTTGACTCTCAGGGCATTTAAGCATGGAGAAAAAATACTGACCTCGGTAGAAACAACAAGATCCCAAGAACAAATATTGAAATTTTATTTGGCTTTAATTTAGCCACCTGCTGGGAGATGGAGAGAGTTGGGGTCCAGGAGCTGAGAATTCAGTAATTTCAGTATTGCTTTGTGGTTAACTAATTAGGACAAAAACCAGAAATCAAAATGGGCCATGAGACCGATAGAAGCTGGTGAAAACCTAAATTTCAGGGCAGCATAGAGAATGAAGGAAGGAGATCCTGGGTGGTTTGGAGGACCTACCTTCATCAAATTTTCGCAAGTCAGTTTTGCACACAAGGTGAAAGTCTGCTATTCTGTACAATTAGGGTGTTTCAGATTTACGTACATATTAATGACGGAGGTGAATTATCAAACATTTTTTTGTAGAAATTTCTTTTAAAGCTTAGGAAGTATCCAGCACTTTATTTGAATTTAAGTACAGAGGATAGTGTGTGTGTGAAAGGTAGGGATTTATCGCTTTGAGGGTAACAAGAAAGGAAAAAGTATTCCATAACAACTTGAACTCCCTGTTCTAATTTTTTTTGTCATCTTCTTTCACAGGGTATTAGAGGAGGAGGGTTTACATTGCGAATCTCAAGTCAAACATCAAGTCAAGATCTGATAGAGTCACTTCTTTCATCAGGAGTTGAATATCGTCAGCCTTTGAATGTGGGAGGCTAAATGTTTATCTGTTCTGTCTGAGGGAAAACTTGCCAAACAGTAATATGACTGGAAAAACACAGACACACGTAGCCTGTATGTGTGTTCCAGTGAACTGACTGTAGACATAGCTTTAACCATTTTCACAGGTTGAGTAAGTGTCAAAAGAGCTTTAACCAGTTCTAATTACTGAAACGGAAATTATACTACTGAAGTGGAGAGAGACCATACATGGGTTCCGTGTGTGGACAAGACTTAACCTGATCAATGGTCTTGGAGAGAAACAAGAACACCCCACCATGGAAAAACTGTGGAAATGTGGAGAGTGTGGGAAGAAATTCAAATACCCATCCTGGCTGGAAGATCATCGACGCAGGCATACTGTTGAGATGCTGTTTCCCTGCTCAGTTTGTGGGAAAGGATTCACTCGGTCATCCACCCTGCGGAAACATCAGCGAGTTCACACGGGGGAGAAGCCATTTACCTGTACTCAGTGTGGAAAGAGTTTCAGGCAATCAGACAACCTCATTTCACATCAGCGAGTCCACACTGGGGAGAGGCCTTTCTTTTGCACCAATTGTGGGAAAGCATTCACTGGCTTATCTCCCCTTATTTCACACCAGCGACTTCACACTGGAGAGAAACCATTCACATGCCCTGACTGTGGAAAGGGATTCTCTCGGTCAGCCAACCTGTTGTCGCATCAACGGGTTCATACTGATGAAAAACCCTTCATCTGCTCTCACTGTGGAAAGTGTTTCAGGCACTCATCCAACCTCACTGCACACCAGCGAGTTCACACCGGGGAGAGGCCATTCAATTGCTCCACGTGTGAAAAAACATTCACTCATTTGTCCAGCCTCATTTCACACCAGCGGGTTCATACTGGGGAGAAGCCATTCTCCTGCTCTGTGTGTGGGAAAGGATTTACTCAGTCAGGCAACTTGGTGGTACACCAGGGAGTTCACACTGGGGAGAAACCGTTCACCTGCTCCAAGTGTGGGAAAGGATTTACACGGTCAGCCAGCCTCACGTTACACCAACGAATTCACAAATGATCACAAGCGTTGGATTTTGCTGCTACTGCTATTGCTTATCACTTTCAGGGCTGAACAGTTTTGCTTTTGACAGTTGGGATTCATTTCTGCTAATGTTAGTAATCCCTGTGGTAGTGCTGGAGTCTAGTATTCTGGATAGTGTTTCCAGGGCTGCGGGTTATTTTGAGAATGAGTATCACTGTTCTTTCCCTATAAATCAGGAATTCTCATCCGAACTTAGTTTAGAGTAATTCCATGAAATTTTAATTCAATCCTAAATTGGTTTTTGTTGTGACTGGTACAGTTCAGTGTCAATAAAGTTCCACAGATTAACATCTCCAGTGAGGAAGCCCCGATGAATTCTTGCTGGCACTTCTGACTGAATTGCACGTTCCACGCAGCAGCACTTCATTAATCACCAGAAAGGGAATAGGAATCGAGGAGAATCAAGAATCTCCAAACATTAACCCTTCATCTGGCACGGATATCCATTCGGCACAGGAATGGAGACAAATTCATTTAAGGTGCTGGAAGAAATCATCATCCAATATATTTGTAAAATCTGAGGAAAATTATAAAATATTAGATAAATTTTTTTTGTCTTCTGAAGAATGCTTCCATTGAGTCCTGGCGGACACACAGCCCAAGCCTACTGTTTCTGCCAAGGACATGTCTCTTGCACACGTCTTGAAGTGGAGATGTTGGTGTTGGACAGGAGTGGACAAAGCCAGAAGCTACATAACACCTGGTTAGAGTTCAACAGGTTTATTTGAAGTCACACACTTTCGGAGCGCTGCACCTTTGTTGGGTGAAGTGGAGGGAAGCACATGGGCACAGAATTTTTATGTAGAGAAGTAATGGTAAAATAATCCAGGCAATCAAAAGTGTCAGACAGTATGAGGAAAGTGTCAACAGCTGAATAGCAAGTGAAGCGATGACCTATGATCCAATTAATAATCACAAAAAATCAAAATTTTGTAATTTTTGACACTTTGGATCACCTACAAAGACATTATTAAGTCTGTTGACACTTCACTCACACCATTTGTATTCATCTTTTGACACACTTAATTACCTGGATTATTTCACCATCATTTCTGTGCATAAAAGTTCTGTGCCTGTGTGCTTCCCCCACTTCACCTGACGAAGGAGCAGTGCTTCAGAAGCTTGTGATTTCAAAGAAACCTTTTGGACTATAGACAGGTGTAATGTAAGTTCTGATAAATCCTGAAAGAAGATATTTCTAACCCTGATACGTTTGGATTTTTAAAAAAAAAATCAGTCATGGGATATGAGCATTGCTGACCAGGTTAGTGCTGTTAGGGAGTTAGGGGGTGGTGAGGTCCAGGAATTTTATCCTGCAAAAGTGAATGAATGGCAGTATATTTCCAAGTCAGGGTGGTGTGTGTCTTGGCAAGAAATTTACAGGTGGTGGTTGTGATGATACTGTGCTTTTAAGAAATGTGTTCTGTCCTGTTACTGTTGCAGTGGGGTTTTGCCACAGTGCTACAGAGGTATTGTTATGGAGGGGGAATGGCCAAACCCTTCTGATACTTAAACCGACACAAGCCCCAATCTGCTATTATGGGAGTGGACATTCTCTTCTAATAGTTAGTCCCGAAACACCCAGAGAAGCTCACCTTCTCTCTCGTAATCTGTTAAATTAATGGTTGAAGGAAAGGAAATCCCTGATCCACTTTATAAATAACAGGTAACAATTTATTTATTTAACCTTTACAATGAACAAATTAAAAGAGATACTAACAAACCAAACAATCTCCCCCTCCTTTATACTAACTACTCCATAGCTGTTCTAAATGCTATTGGAATACTGTTCAAGTAAACACAAGTCCCCATAAATCCAATTAATAAGAACACAAATTAAACCTAATCTCTCCAAGTTTAGAGACTCTCTTCTTGGACCTCTTACTTTCCCCTGCTGATCTTCCTTTACAGATGTCTTTCGGTAATTGCTTCTATGAGGACTTGTAACTAAACTACCATAGTGTCTTTAAATTAGATGGACTTTCTCTGAGAGCAAAAGGTGTTGTCCTGTGGCAGTTGCTTCTCTCCCTCTCACTGCTACTTTTTTAAAAAAAAAACACTTTTTCTTAAATACCACCACTAATGCAACAAATTCTCAGAATATTATTGGGTTCAGGCTGTCAACATAATCAGATTTAAATTTGATAGATTTTGAAATGCTTTGAAAGGACCACAGCACTTCTTTCCCCACTGTCATTTTTACCAACAAGTTCTAACTTCCTGCCTTCTAATTCATAAATACTTCGCAACACCTCCACCCTTAAGAAAAAAAATGAATCATCATCGTGAAAAGATGGCTTCATATTTTTTTTTAAATCTTAACACTATTGCCGCAGGATAGATAGTTCAGTTAACTAAAGTTATACCTTTCCTACTAATTCTACATATAATATGAAAAACACTGGACTATACTGGTTCCATTTTATCTACACATTTTCTTTTAAACCCACGATTATGCATCTCCAATAACTGGAGGCGATGACCTAGTGCTATTATGGATGTTGTGGACGTTGGAGTGCACATGCAAAGCTGCATTAGGACACTATTTAAACAGGCCAGGACACACTGCAACACTCCAGAACTACACAGGAAAGAGGAAGAACACTTGTACAAAATCCTCACTTTAAACGCATATCCCTGCAACCTCATCCATAGATGCCTATAAACAGACAAGGGGAGGACACCATACAACCTAACACACTGGCCACACTGCCCTACATCAAGAACACGTTGGAACTGACATCGAGACTCCTAAGACCACTAGGAATCATGGTGGCCCACAGCCACTCTACAACAAACACTTACAAGGATTAAAGACCCCATTCACACAACATGTAGAACACGTGGTTTACAAAATACCATGCAACGACTGCCACAGACATTACATTGGACAGACAGGAAGGAGACTAGCCATCAGAATGCATGAACATCAGCTAGCAGTAAAACGGTGCGACGAACTCTCCTTAATATTGGTACACTCAGACAATGAAAGCCATCAAATGAAGTGGGACAAGGTAACCATAGTAGCCCAAGGCAAATATAGACATGCATGGGAATTCCTGGAGGCATGGTTCTCCACTCATACTTGTATCAACAAACATATAGAATTGGACCCCATATACAAACCCATACAGATCAAAACTGGAAATGACCGTACTCACCATAATGGACTGGACAGTATAAATTCCAAGTGGAGTAGAATAACGTCCTCACTATCCATGGGTATTGTGCCGGAAGATTGGAGAGTAGCAAACATCATTCCCTTGTTCAAAAAAGGGAATAGGGATAACCCTGGAAATTACAGGCCAGTTAGTCTTACTCCAGTGGTGGGCAAATTATTGGAAAGGGCTCTGAGAGATAGGATTTATGATCACTTGGATAGACACAGTTTGATTTGTGATAGTCAGCATGGATTTTTGAGGGGTAGATCATGCCTCACAAATCTTACTGAATTCTTTGAAGAGGTGACCAAACAGGTGGATGAAGGTAGAGCAGTGGATGTGGTACACATGGATTTTGTTTACCGGCACCCTCGGGCGACTGTTTGTGTGGAGTTTGCACGTTCTCCCCTTGTCTGCGTGGGTTTCCTCCCAGTATTCCGGTTTCCTCCCACAGTCCAAAGATGTGCAGGCTAGGTGGATTGGCCATGCTAAATTGCCCATAGTGTTCAGGGATGTGTAGATTAGGTGGGTTATAGGGGGATGAGTCTGGGTGGGATACTCTGAGGGTCGCTGTGGACTTGTTGGGCCGAAGGGCCTGTACCCACACTGTAGGGATTCTATGATTCTAAGTAAGGCGTTTGATAAGGTTCCCCATGGCAAGCTCATGCAGAAAGTAAGGAGGCATGGGATAGGGGGCAATGTGGCAGATTGGATTCAGAATTGGCTGGCCCTTCGAAGACAAAGGGTGGTAGTCGACGGAAAATACTCAACATGGTGCTCAGTTACGAGTGGTGTACAACAAGGATCAGTTCAGGGTCCTCTTCTATTTGTGATTTTTGTAAATGATTTGGATGTAGGAGTGGAAGATTGGATTAGTAAGTTCGTGGATGATATGAAGATGGGTTGAATTGTGGAGGGCTGTTCTGGGTTACAAAGGGACGTTGATAGAGGATGCAGAGCATGGCTGAGAAGTGGCAGATGGAGTTTAACCCTGAAAAGTGTGAGGTGATTCATTTTGGAAGGACAAATTTGAAAGCAGAATACAAGGTTAACAGAAAGATTCTTGGCAGTGTGGAGGAGCAGAGGGATCTTCGGGTTCATGTCCACAGTTCCCTGAAAGCTGCCACCCAGGTGGATAGAGTTGTTAAGAAGGCGTATGATGTGTTAGCTTTCATTAATAGAGAGACTGAGTTCAAGAGCCATGAAGTTATGCTCCAGCTATACAAAAGCCTGGTTCGGCCACATCTGCAGTATGGTGTCCAGTTCTGGTCACCTCATTACAAGAAAGATGTGGAAGCGTTGGAAAAGGTGCAGAGGAGATTTACCAGGATGTTGCCTGGATTGGAGGGAAGGTCTTACGAGGAAAGGTTGAGAGAGCTAGGGCTCTTCTCTTTAGAACGATGAAGGATGAGAGGTGACTTGATAGAGGTGTACAAAATGATCAGAGGTATAGATAGAGTGGACAGCCAGAGACTTTTTCCTGGGGTGGAGGTAGCTATTACGAGGGGGCATAGTTTTAAAGTGAGTGGAGGTAGATATAGGGGAGACGTCAGAGGTAGGTTCTTTACTCAGAGAGTGGTGGAGCGTGGAATGCATTGCCGGAGAGGGTAGTGGAGTCGGCCTCATTAGGGGCATTTAAGCGGCTATTAGATAGGCATGTGGATGATAGTATAAGGTAGGGGTGGAGGTTAGATAGACCTTAGGTTTAGGGTAAAAGTTCGGCACAACATCGTGGGCCGAAGGGCCTGTACTGTTCTATGTTCTAACACCGCTTCATCGGAAGCTCCACTGATTATGTCACCTAGTACGGT